TTCTCTGTGTCTGTCACGCCTACTCCCGCTCCGGCACTCGATGTCACAGGTCTACTAACAACCGGTCCTGGCTACCCACATTACGCACACCTGGCAACCATCATTGCGCACACGTGCTCCCCATCTTTACGCACACCTGGACTTCATCATCAACCTGATTACTTTCCCTTTATTTAGCCCTCAGTAGCCTCAGTCTTCAGGCAGTATTGGTTTTGTTTACATTCAGTACGCTACTCCTGTTTTGATTATCTTCATTGTTCTTATTATTAAACTCACCTTCTGCACCTGCTTCCTGACTCCCTGCGTATACATTAGTGTCCTACACAGGACTCACAACAAGGCAGCGATAGCCTACTGTAGGGGTGCACCTCAATAGTCTACAGTGGCTTCCTCTATCTCCTTTCTTTCATTTGCACTGATCTGAACAGCAGATAGGTGAAAGCATTATGGTATTTGTTTACACCTATCCAGTACTTTCAGATCAGTATGAGCAGAAAACAGAAAATAGTGACAGTGAGCCACTTCAGCCATCTTTCTACTTTTCCCTTCCATATTTAGATTTTGAATGTTTCCCCAGTCTGGACGACCTGGAATGTGTCCATTTCCACAGATTACAAAACATTTATATTGTCACACAATCAAAACAATGATGGTATTAATTATATGTATTCTGCTTGTGTTCTGATCTGTTGTCAATGTTCACACACACACACAGACTGTGATGATGACAATGCTCAAGATAACCACACTTTAGGTGCCTTTTGGCAAACTCCAAGCGGGCTGTCATGTGCCTTTTACTGAGGAGTAGCTTCCGTCTGGTCACTCTACCATAAAGGACTGATTGGTGGAATACTGCAGAGATGGTTGTCCTTCTGGAAGGTTCTCCCATCTCCACAGAGGAACTCTAGAGCTCTGTCAAGGTGACCATCGGGTTCTTGGTCACCACCTTGACCAAGACCCTTCTCCCCCGATTGCTCAGTTTGGCCAGGCGGCCAGCTCTAGGAAGAGTCTTGGTGGTTTCAAACTTCTTCCATTTAAGAATGATGGAGGCCACTGTGTTCTTGGGGACCTTCAATGCTGCAGAAAGGTTTTTGTACCCTTCCCCAGATATGTGCCTCGACACAATCCTGTCTCGGAGCTCTATACGGACAATTCCTTCGACCTCATGGCTTGGTTTTTGCTCTGACATGCACTGTCAACTGTGGGACCTTATATAGACAGTTGTGTGCCTTTCCAAATCATGTCCAATCAATTGAATTTACCACAGGTGGACTCCAATCAAGTTGTAGAAACATCTCAAGGATGATCAATGGAAACAGGATGCACCTGAGCTCAATTTCGAGTCTCATAGCAAAGGGTCTGAATACTGGTATTTCTGTTTTTGTTTTTTTATACGTTTCCAAAAATTTATAGAAACCTGTTTTCGCCTTGTCATTATGGGGTATTGTGTGTAGATTGCTAATGATAAAAAATAAAAAATAATCCATTTTAGAATAAGGTTGTAATATAACAAAATGTGGAAAAAGTCAAGGGGTCTGAATACTTTCCGAAGGCTCTGTATGTGTGTGTACATTGTTCAATCAATAAGTGAGAGAGAGCCTCAAATATCACATTAATTTGTAAATCCACTGTAGCCCGCTATATATGAATCGCAGCAAAGTTGGTTCCTGTTTCAGTCATGTCTTTGGTCACGTTTGTGTGATTCAAACAAAAACACCCTAATGATTGCTTGACAATAGAGCCTTCCCCCAATGCAGGCGATGGCTGCAGGCTGAAGTTGGTGAAGAGCAACTGCAGAAACTTGTGGTTGACCATAGTCAAAACTTCATGACTTGACAAAAGTGATCCGCTCAAACGCGTCCAGAGAAAGAGCAATGATGTGGTGCACATATCTGCACATGTGACATAGTAAGCAATTTTCTGGGACCACTTTTGGCACCATGTGTTTGATGCCATTCCATTCGTGCCATTCTGGTCATTATTGTGAGCTGTCCTCCCCTCAGCAGCCTCCACTTGAATTAACATAGGTTGAAGCTTATCTGAACAGCTCAGTCTTCAGCTGTGCCTTAAACGAGGCCAGAGACTGCAGCACTGACAGTGACTGGAAGTGCGTTCCACAACCGAGGAGCCGCACAACGGAAAGGCCTGTCACCCATAATTTGTAGTCTGTTGTGGGGCTGCTGTAATGTAAGCTGTAATGTAATGTAGAGGCCAGTGGATACTGTCTGGAAAAATTATATTGCGGCTACCAGTGGTCCAGTAAAAGCTGACATTAAGCGAGGATGGGATTTGGTTAGTTTGTTACCTTTCTATTGATGTGTGATGATGTCATCAGCTGGTTAGGTTCAAAGGGCTGGGGGGTCTTGAGTAATTAGATGACAATGATTTGTTGAAAACAGAATGGTCCTTCCACATGGAATATATATTTTTTTTAAAGGGCACCCCTTTTGATTAGAATGACACTTTACATATAGTTAATGTTTGCCCATAGAAATATCAGAATGTGAATATTGGACCTGAATGACCAATCAATCAGGAGATATACACTACCGGTCAAAAATTTTAGAACACCTACTCATTCAAGGGGTTTTCTTTATTTTTACTATTTTCTACATTGTAGAATAATAGTGAAGACATCAAAACTATGAAATAACACGTATGGAATCATGAAGTAACCAAAAAAGTGTTAAACAAATCAAAATATATTTTAGATTTAAGATTCTTCAAATAGCCACCCTTTGCCTTGATGACAGCTTTGCACACTCTTGGCACACCAGCTGGTTAGATTCAAAGGGCTGTTGCTGTTTTGAGAGCTTGGGGGTCTTCAGTAAATTAGATGACTTGTTGAAAATGGAAAGTAGTTTAAAAAGGCCTTCATGGAAATTGAACAGAGCAGTAGGTCTAGAACTGTGCTGAAATAAGGTAGGCTATCAAAGAATTTGCACTGTTGGCAATAAAAACAAGGACATAACCTTTCTGTCATATCTATAGGAGGACGGTAAGTTTGATTTATTAACACTTATTTAGCTTTTACAGGTAGTCTATTGATTCTAAGTACTCTTGTCTTGACTAGGCACATTCACACAGTGGTGAAACTGTGTGTCCTTCAATTTTCTTCTCAAACTATTTCATGTAAGATTCTACATTTACATTTACATTTTTGTCATTTAGCAGACGCTCTTATCCAGAGCGACTTACAGTTAGTGCATGCATTATATATTTTTTTTCCCCCTGTGGGAATCGAACCCACAACCCTGGCATTGCAAACGCCATGCTCTACCAACTGAGCTACATCCCCTGCCGGCCATTCCCTCCCCTACCCTGGACGACGCTGGGCCAATTGTGCGCCGCCCCATGGGTCTCCCGGTCGCGGCCGGCTACGACAGAGCCTGGATTCGAACCAGGATCTCTAGTGGCACAGCTAGCACTGCGATGCAGTGCCTTAGACCACTGCGCCACTCGGGAGAATATGTGAACATTTTGAATGCTGTCATTGTTAAAGTGATTTACCATTTTAGGAAATTAATGGTTTCAGTGACTTATTTTGTGTTATTTCATATTTTTAAATGGCCTATATAAAATACTTGATATGTATTTTAATGCCACGTAATGCTCTCAAATTTTACTGCATGTAAACACATTTTACTGCATGTGAACACACATGACAAGTCCTTGTCCTGAGGCAAGTGATAAACCAACTAGTCATATACCCACCACTTGTCCGCTTTGAAAAGCCAAGGAAGAAAATTCAATGCATCATGCCATTGTTATCTCATTCTTTTGCAAAGTTAGAAAAATTATTGTTTGCAGGAGGAAAAATCCTGGGCTAGTTGCATGTTTTAATCTTTGACCTTTGGTGCACACAACCACACCTGTGATTAAAAAGTTTAGTCAAAATACAAAAACAAAAAGAATCTCCTGCATTTCACATGTCAAAGCTAGGATATGGTATTGTCATATAGAAATAAAAGTGAAATCTTGTCTTTGGTTTAGTCTATATTTATGTACAGTGCCTTCAGAAAGTATTCACACCGCTTGACCTTTTCCACATTCCACTTCCACATTCCACATTTTGTTGTTTGTTTTAAAATGGATTACATTTTTGTCACTGGCCTACACACAATACCCCATAATGTCAAAGTGGAATAATGTTTTTTGTAATTTTTACAAATTAATTAAAAATGAAAAGCTGAAATGTCTTGAGTCAATAAGTATTCAACCCCTTTGTTATGGCAAGCCTAAATAAGTTCAGGAGTAAAATGTTGCTTTACAAGTCACATAATAAGTTGCATGGACTCACTATAATAGTGTTTAACATTTTTAATGACTACCTCAACTCTGTACCTCACACATGCAATTATCTGTAAAGTCCCTCAGTCGAGCAATGAATTTTAAACACAGATTCAACCACAAAGACCAGAGAGGTTTTCCAATGCCTCACAAAGAAGGGCACCTATTTGTAGATTGGTAAACATAAAAAAAAAAGCAGACACTGAATATCCCTTTGAGCATGGTGAAGTTATTAATTACACCTAGTCACTATAAAGATACAGGCGTCCTTCCGAACTCAGTTGCCGGAGAGGAAGGAAACCGTTTAGGGATTTAACCATGAGGACCATGGTGACTTTAGAACAGTTACAGTTTAATAGCTGTTATAAGAGAAAACTGAGGATGGATCAACAACATTGTAGTTACTCCACAATACTATCATAATTGACAGAGTGAAAAGAATGAAGCCTGTACAGAATAGAAATATTCAAAAACATGCATCTTGCACTAAAAAGTGCAAGATGGCAGAGGCTTCGAGAAGGACAGGTGAGCCCTCAGCTGTTACCTCAGTGGTCATTATCTGCTCTTCCCTGGTCTCTCTATTTTATTCTCTCTCTCTCTCTCTCTCTCTCTCTCTCTCTCTCTCTCTCTCTCTCTCTCTCTCTCTCTCTCTCTCTCTCTCTCTCTCTCTCTCACACACACACACAGTCTTTCTTTTTTTCTTCCTTCAGGACAGTGAAGAGCTGCTGGCCTTCTCTCGTACAAAAGCTCCCTCCATCTCCCTGTCTATAGTACCGTTTGGTGCCCAGAAGCACACTTCCTCGCCCTGGCTGCTGATCCACTTCCATGGAGGAGGCTTCGTGGCCCAGACCTCCAAATCCCATGAGGTTCGTAGGCCAGGGATAGTGGTGTGATGCCTGGAATTACTTTAGCTAATCACTAACCGTAGTCTCACAGTAATTACATTGAGTGGAGCTTGGTGCTCAGCCCGTACTCACCTTCCGGTACTCATTATACCTGTCTACTTTTGAGAATCTGTTAATATTTTCTTATCACACCTCTTCATCTCTCTCTCCATCTGTCCTGCTGCATTCTCACTCTATCTTCCAGAACTATCTGAAGAGCTGGTCCAAGGATCTAAATGTCCCCATCCTGTCTGTGGATTACTCCCTGGCTCCTGAGGCCCCCTTCCCCAGAGCCCTGGAGGAGTGCTTCTACGCCTACTGTTGGGCCCTCAAGGACTGCCATCTTCTGGGTCGGTGTCATTACTACTGTGTTAGAGCTTGCCTTCGAGCCAAAAAATAATGTTTCTTACCTTGTTATTGCAGTTGTTGCCCATTTAATAGGGTGTCGTTTTGGGAATTAAGAGAGTTCCACACCCTTGAAATCAAGTTAAAAACATTATGTATCTTTGATGCTTCTTCTCAATGTACAAGTTACAGTTGGCTCTCTTCTTCAATTGACTATTATTGTTATAATTCTAAAATATCCAAAGTATTAAAACAATTCATCACAAGTATAATCACCTCATCTCATACACTTCTCTAACACATAAAGTAAAGGAACAACTTGTTTACATCTCCAGCTCCATCTGACAGCTTGTAGAAATAGTAACTGGCAGGCTAGCTTGCTGAAGCTAACGGTAGCCAACGTTAGCTTTGATGCTAGCGGACTTTTTGATATTAATTACACATTTACACTTTATTGTGTTTCTTATTATGTGGATTTCGTCTCACTCACCTTTGAAATTATGTTAATAACAGTATTTATCTTCGGTGCTTCTCCTCAATGTACAAGTTACAGATGACTCTCTGTCTCTTCTTCAACAACTGACTAGGCTATTGCGAGAGAATCAACCAGTAAAATAAACACTGTGGCAAAAGCGAGTGACTGGCCCCTTCTGCTGGCTGAATCAAGCATAACACCCTTTCATAGATTAACATCGAGTCCACTATTTCTGATAACATCTCAGACCTGTACCAGACCAGCTGGTGGTACTGATTGCTCTGTCCTTCTGTCCCAGGCTCCACAGCTGAGCGTGTGTGTCTGGCTGGTGACAGTGCTGGAGGGAATCTCTGCATCACCATGTCCATGAGGGCCATTTCCAGCGGCGTCCCTGATGGTATCATGGCTGCCTACCCAGCTACCCTGCTCACCACTGATGCCTCGCCCTCCCGCCTGCTCACCTTCATGGACCCAATGCTGCCCTTAGGGGTGCTCTCCAAGTGCCTTAATGCCTACGCAGGTAAGGAAATAAGCAAAATGGATGAGAGGGTATTAGTCAAAGCTCTTGTAAAAGAGAGTTAAGGGGCAAAGATTGCGTATTGATGTATATTGATGTGTGCAAAAAAGATGTGCATATAGGTCTTAAATAACTTAATTTCTTATCCTCCATTTTTTATTACCTCGTCTTCCTCTTTTCCACCCTCTCTCCAGGTGTAGACTCTCAGGTGGTACAGCCCACAAAGGGGACCAGCACGTTGTATGCTCTAGGTAGAGACACAGCCTTGCTGATCAATGACCTTACAAAGGGGCTATCCAGTTGGATCCAGTCCTTCCTGCCCACAGTGGGCCTAGAGTCACTGTCATTGTCACACCGGAAGTCCCTCGAAAACAAGGCCGACCAGAGATAAACCTCACCCTGTTCCTCCTCATTCAACGCCTCCTCAGGTCCTAGGGACTACCCAGAAGGCTTTGAGCCCCTGCACTCTGAGTGCCTGGCTGTGATCCAGAACTCCTCCTGTCCCATCGTCAATAACCCATTTGTGTCGCCCCTGCTTGCCCCTAACGACCTACTGAGAGGACTACCACCTGTACACTTAGCGGTGAGAGGGGGGAATGAGGTAGGGAATGAATGGATAAAGGGAGAGAGTGTGAGGGATGGGTGTGGTAGAGTCAATGGATTTTGGAGGTTGAGAAGGATGGAAAGATATCGCGAGCAAAGGAATAATCAATATTGCAGTGGGTCTGTATTTTTCTTCACCAGTTGCTTTAATATTCTACAACTCTGCTACTCCCCTGTCTGTCCCCACAGGTCTCTGCACTGGATGCCTTGTTGGATGACTCTGTGATGTTCGCCAAGAAACTGCGGGATGTGGGCCAACCAGTGACCCTGAGGGTGGTGGAAGACCTCCCACATGGCTTCCTCAGCCTATTGGGAATCTCTGAGGAGACACAAGTGGCCTCAGACATCTGCGTAGAGCGAATCAGACAGGTCTTCCAGCAGCAAACCCTGCCTTACTGTACTCGCAAGGCACCTAAGTTTGAAAGGACCAATCATGGGGCATGGAAAAAAATAGTTGTCCTCAGAGAAGTGGAGTGAAAGAACGGAGCAGGGGATTCGCATATAAAATTGATAAAAGGTTGAAGGGGGAAGGGGGAAAAAATAAGAAAATTAAGATGGAATAAAAACGATGGACCACAACAACACAGAGGCAGGCAACCAGATTATTTTACTCAATGGCACTCCCAGTCTGGGAAAAAGGCAGTCCTTTACGGTCCACTGATTGCACAATATGATAATTCATTCAAAGCACACTGCACAACATGGCCTGATAGTAGGCTTCACACTGGGCTATTTCACAAGCCGATTGTTTACACACGAGCCCCTTCCTTCCTTCTGTCCCTTCCATCTGTGTGTACGATAGCTGTAAATACATTGGGAGAAGATAAAGGCCATTTTCCTAACGTTGTTGACCCTATCATACTGTGATAGCAAGGGAGCCTTTTCCGCTGCATACGGCATGCGGATGACAAGCAATCTAGAAAACTTATCGGGGTGCTGTGGCTCATGGCAAATTCATGGCAAAAATTACACAGTGACATATCTATTAGAAGTGACTAGGGCTTTGTCCTTATTTTTCATTAGATATTACAAGTTCAAATTAATTTAATTCATTCACATGGCAGAATACAATTGAATTCTGAATTGCATGATAAAAAAAAAAAAAAAAAAAAAAAAAACTATTGTTGTGGATGTTGTTATGAGTTGCTGTTAAATAATTGAGTCATGTAGGGGACGGATGATCTTTTAGATCGTCCAGTTCTTGCTCTGACAGGTCTGAGTTTGTGTGAGTGCCGTGTTTTCCTTCCAGAGGTTGTGATGATTGGTTGTGGTAGGAAGTTCCTGTTGCCAGACTGGAGTAAACAATGGGCAGACTGTGGGCAGAGATTGAGGGTTGAGTGTGCTGATGTGTAGCTGCTGTATCAATGGTCCAAGGATTCTCCAGCATGCTCGCTTCTTTATTCACTCCAATTGTCCAGTCATGGTTGAGGTGAGATAGGTGGTGTAGATGGTGACTAGGACGGATTTGGGAATGGAACCCACAATCCAGGCGTTGCATGCCCCATGGGCATGTTCTAACAACTGATCCACAGAGAACCACAAAGAGTTTCTGGTTACCCTTTTCCACCTGTTGCTCCAGCTCAGGTCATCCTGGATCCCAGCAGTTTAATATCAGATGTTGTTTGCAGAGTGTTCCCATTTAGGTACAAGGATTTCAAAGGGGGTGGGTTGTTGGTAAAGCAAACATGCAGGACTTTGCACTTGATTGGGTTGAGCTGCGTGGAGTGCTCATCTACCTAGGAGCACATCTTTTCAAGACCATGTTGAAGGCTGCAGAGCTGCCCCACCCTAATGCACTCTGCAATGTTCATGTCATCAATGTATTTGCACCTGTGATTGAACTTCTGAAGTGCGAAGTCAATGAGGGCCAGGAAGATAAGGTGTCCAAGAAGTGTACCTTGAGTCACTCCACAGGTCAGATGTTGCCATGGAGAAATGGTGCCTTCGTATTTCACCCTCTGCTTCCTTTTGGAGATGAAGCTACAGACCCAGGGGATAAGGGACTCTGACCCCTAACTGTATGGTACATTTTGTTGAAGGCTTTGGCAAAATCTGCTGTTATTATAGTGCATATATAATTCTCTTACTTGCATCAGTGGATTTTACATAATGTATAGGAAGCTGACCAAGACATCTGTCGTCGACCTGCCCTTTTTGCATCCAAGCTGTCTTGGGTCAAGCTTGTGGCCGATGTCTTCCAGCATCCAATCTGTGGCAAAACTGTCAGCCACCTTAGCTCCTGTATTCCAGAATTGTTCTAGTGTTCTACAGCTGTAATGCCTGTAGAACCATTCAGACTGTGTTCATGATGTTTTATAATTATGTTTCTTGATTATATTTACTTCTGTCTCCAGGACACCCAAGTTCCGACCGAGAAATGAGAGCTATAAACAGTGGAGGTTCCATTTCTCACACTGGCAGTCTATTGAAAAAAAGGTAAATGTCATTATGACCATTACAATTCCCAAGCAGCCTGTCAAGTACAATAATATTTTGTTATTTGACAGATACAGTGGCTTGCGAAAGTATTCACCCCCCTTGGCATTTTTCCTATTTTGTAGCCTTACAACCTGGAATTATAATTGATTTTTTGGGTGGTTTGTGTGGTGATGGGATGGATGGAGTCAGGTGCAGGAGTGTGAAGAAGGGATACGCTTTATTCAGCCCAAGGTAGTCCTGTGATGGGTGATTTGAAGGAGTCAGGCGCAGGAGGGTAAATCACAGAATACAGAGTTTATTCCGGAATACAGTTACGCAGAATTGCGTCAAACAGTCCAGTGCGCAAAACAGGCGCACTGGAACCAAACAGGCACACGGGGAAAATATACTCACACTAAACAATCACCCACAAGGACAAGGGGGCAGAGGGAACACTTATACACGTACTAATGAGGGGATATGAACCAGGTGTGTGTATTTGACAAGACAAAACAAATGGAATGATGAGATGAGGAGCGGCAGTGGCTAGAAGGCCGGTAACGACGACCGCCCTAGCCTGCCCGAACAAGAAGAGGAGGCAGCTTCGGAGGAAGTTGTGACAGTTTGTATCATTTGATTTACACAACATGCCTACCACTTTGAAGATGCAAAATATTTTTTCTTGTGAAACAAACAAGAAATAAGACCAAAAAACAGAAAACTTGAGCGTGCATAACTATTCACCCCCCCAAAGTCAATACTTTGTAGAGCCACCTTTTGCAGCAATTACAGTTGGTAGAGCATGGCGTTTGCAACGCCAGGGTTGTGGGTTCGATTCCCACGGGGGGCCAGTATAAAAAAAATAAAAAATTATGCACTCACTGACTGTAAGTCGCTCTGGATAAGAGCGTTTGCTAAATGACTAAAATGTAAATGTAAAATATATGTCTCTATAAGGTTGGCACATCTAGCGTCTGGGATTTTTGCCCATTCTTCAAGGCAAAACTGCTCCAGCTCCTTCAAGTTGGATGGGTTCCGCTGGTGTACAGCAATCTTTAAGTCATACCACAGATTCTCAATTGGATTGAGGTCTGGGCTTTGACTAGGCCATTCCAATACATTTAAATGTTTCCCCTTACACCACTCAAGTGTTGCTTTAGCAGTATGCTTAGGGTCATTGACCTTCGTACCAGTCTCAAATCTCTGGAAGACTGAAACAGGTTTCCCTCAAGAATTTCCCTGTATTTAGCACCATCCATCATTCCTTCAATTCTGACCAGTTTCCCAGTCCCTGCCGATGAAAAACATCCCCACAGCATGATGCTGTCACCACCATGCTTCACTGTGGGGATGGTGTTCTCGGGGTGATGAGAGGTGTTGGGTTTGCGCCAACATAGCGTTTTCCTTGATGGCCAAAAAGCTCAATTTTAGTCTCATCTGACCAGAGTACCTTCTTCCATATGTTTGGGGAGTCTCCCACATGCCTTTTGGCGAACACCAAACGTGTTTGCTTATTTTTTTCTTTAAGCAATGGCTTTTTTCTGGCCACTTTTCCGTAAAGCCCAGCTCTGTGGAGTGTACGGCTTAAAGTGGTCCTATGGACAGATTCTCCAATCTCTGCTGTGGAGCTTTGCAGCTCCTTCAGGGTTATCTTTGGTGTCTTTGTTGCCTCTCTGATTAATGCCCTCCTTGCCTGGTCCGTGAGTTTTGATGGGCTGCCCTCTCTTGGCAGGTTTGTTGTGATGCCATATTCTTTCCAATTTTTAATAATGGATTTAATGGTGCTCCGTGGGATGTTCAAAGTTTTGGATATTTTTTTATAACCCAACCCTGATCTGTACTTTTCCACAACTTTGTCCCTGACCTGTTTGGAGAGCTCCTTGGTCTTCATGGTGCCGCTTGCTTGGTGGTGCCCCTTGCTTAGTGGTGTTGCAGACTCTGGGGCCTTTCAGAACAGGTGTATATATACTGAGATCATGTGACAGATCATGTGACACTTAGATTGCACATAGGTGGACTTTATTTAACTAATTATGAAATAAAGGTAATTGGTTGCACCAGATCTTATTTAGGGGCTTCATATCAAAGGGGGTGAATACATATGCACGCACCACTTTTCCGTTATTTATGTTTTAGAATATTCTGAAGCAAGTTATTTTTTTCATTCCACTTCACCAATTTGGACTATTTTGTGTATGTCCATTACATGAAATCCAAATAAAAATCAATTTAAATTACAGGTTGTAATGCAACAAAATAGGAAAAATGCCAAGGGGGATGAATACTTTTGCAAGGCACTATAGGTCTGTAAATAAGAATGATAAATTAAGACTAACAGATCATTTTACCTTATCTAACTAAGAGTATGTTTAAATATAATATAGCCTATATTTGTGACTTTGTAAGTGTGTGTAGATCACATCAATAATAAGTTAGCTTATCTTGTGGTTCACTGAGCGGTGTCATGTTTGTTACCTAGATAACTGCATGGTGTAGGGAGAGTGAGGAGAGGTATGGCCATTCACCTCTTGTGAATGCCACTTGGGTTCACTTCCCTACAAAGGGATTGAACCCACATGGAGGCATGCAGGTATGTTAATAACAATCATTAGATACACATTTCACATGGAAAGTGAAGTCAACATAGACATTGGCGTCGGCTAATATGGATCCTAATAAATCAAATCAAATATAACATAATCATATTTTGCCCAAATAGCATACTTTTAACCCAAATAAGTGCTGAAATAAATGTTATTTTCTTTCCATGTGAAATTACTTTCTTTTGCAGTTGTTCATACTGCAATGTTCGATCTGGTCATGTTATTTTGTTAATCTAGGCATTGTTCATGATAAACAGTGTCTTTGAAGTACATTGTTTTACCATTTTTGGTAATGTAGAAAGGAAAAGCATTCACACATTTCTACAAATTCTCCAAATTAAGGCATGATCATTGTTGGGGTGAGGGTTTATGGTGTAATAATGGAGAATAATGGAGACACGTGCCAATAATTTTGGACCTGACTGTTGTGGTGGGGCAGCATGCGTCACGTGTCTC